TCCATAAACACACCAGCCAGCTGGTCTGCGCATGCTCTGAGGACACGGCTAGGGATGCCGTCTGGGCCGGCAGCCTTGCGGGGGTTAACATGCTTAAATGTCTTAATCACGTCAACCACAGAGAAGGAGAGGCCACAGTCCTTGGTAATGGGCCTCGTCGGTGGCACTGTGTTATCCTCAAAGCGGGCGAAGAAGGTGTTTAGCTTGTCTGGAAGCGAGACGACGGTGTCGGCGACATGGCTGGTTTTCCTTTTGTAGTCCGTGATTGTCTGTAGACCCTGCCACATACGTCTCGTGTATGAGCCGTTGAATTGCGACTCCACTTTGTCTCTATACTGACGTTTTGCCAGTTTAATTGCCTTGCGGAGTGAGTAGCTACACTGTTTGTATTCTGCCATATTCCCAGTCACCTTGCCATGGTTGAATGCGGTGGTTCCCGCTTTCAGATTTGCGCGAATGCTGCCATCTATCCACGGTTTCTGGTTAGGGTAGGTTTTAATAGTCACAGTGGGCACAACATCACCTATACACTTCTTTATAAACCCAGTCACTGTTTCAGTGTTTACGTCTAAATTATTTTCGGAAGCTACCCGGAACTTATCCCAGTCTGTTTGATCAAAACAATCTTGAAGCGTGGATTCCGATTGGTCAGACCAGTGTTGAATAGTCCTTAGCACGGGTACTTCCTGTTTGAGGGTCTGCCTATAGGAAGGGAGAAGCAAAATGGAGTCGTGGTCAGATTTGCCGAAAGGAGGGCGGGGAGGGCCTTATAACCATCCCGGAAGTTTGAATAGCAATGGTCGAGGGTTTTGGCAGCGTGAGTGCAACAGTCGATATGTTGATAGAACTTCGGCAGCCTAGTCCTCAAATTTGCTTTGTTAAAATCCCCGGCAACAATAAATGCAGCCCCAGAATATGTGGTTTCCAGTTTGCATAAGGTCCGGTGAAGTTCTTTGAGGGCCGTCGTGGTATCGGCTTGAGGGGGGATATACACGGCCGTGACTATAACCGAATAAAATTATCTTGGGAGATAATATGGTCGGCATTTTGATTGTGAGATATTCTAGGTCGGGTGAACAGAAGGACTCGAGTTCCTGTATGTTACTTCAATTACACCATGAGTCATTAATCATGAAACACACACCTCCGCCCTTCTTCTTCCCGGAGAGATATTTATTCCTGTCTGCGCGATGAACTGAGAACCCATCTGGCTGGACTGATTTCGACAGAATATCCCAAGAGAGCCATGTTTCCGTGAAACAGAATATGTTACAGGCCTTGATGTCTCTCTGGAAAGAAATCCTTGCCCGGAGTTCGTTGATCTTGTTAACCAAAGACTGAACATTAGCGAGTAGTATACTTGGAAGCGGTGGGTGGTGTGCGTGCCTCCTAAGTCGAACCAGCAGGCCGCTCCGAGTGCCTCTCCTCCGCCGGCGATGTTTTGGGTCAGCCGCTGGAATCAGTTCAGTTGCCCTGGGGAGAGCAAACAAAGGATCTGCTTCGGGAAAGTCGTATTCCTGGTCGTAATGCTGGTGAGTTACCGCCGCTCTGATATCCAATAGTTTTTCCCGGCTGTATGTAATGATGCCAAACACTTTCTGAGCTAATAATGTAAAAAAATTATACATAAAAAAACAAAATACTGCAAAGTTTCCTAAGAGCTAGTCGCGAGGCCGCCATCTTCGTCGGCGACAAATACAACAGTCAAGGTATTGGAGTGGCCATCACAAAGCCCTGACCTCAATCCTATAGAAAATGTGTGGGCAGAACTGAAAAAGCGTGTGCGAGCAAGTAGGCCTACAAACCTGACTCAGTTACACCAGCTCTGTCAGGAGGAATGGGCCAAAATTCACCCAACTTATTGTGGGAAGCTTCTGGAAGGCTACCCGAAACGTTTGACCCAAGTTAAACAATTGAAAGGCAATGCTACCAAATAATAATTGAGTGTATGTAAACTTCTGACCCACTGGGAATGTGATGAAAGAAATAAAAGCTGAAATAAATCATTCTCTCAACTATTATTCTGACATTTCACATTCTTAAAATAAAGTGTTTGATCCTAACTGACCTAAGACAGGGAATTTTTACTAGGATTAAAATGTCAGGAATTGTGAAACACTGAGTTTAAATGTATTTGGCTAAGCTGTCTGTAAACTTCCGACTTCAACTGTATCTATAACTGGGCTAATAACTCACTAACTAGAGAAGAATATTAACAGATGTACACACTCTGCTCTGTGCTCTGATCTGAAAAGCGCATTCACTAGCAGACGATTGAAAGACCGCTGTGGGCTACCCCAGCCAATATAATTCTACTCCGTTGAGCTATGGCTCTGCCTACAACAAAATCACAGACTCAATCTTGTACAGTTTAGATTTGTTTTGGTTTGTTGCATTGAAAAGGGTTCTGATATAATGTTGATTCGATCACAGAAAAAAAACATTGATCTATATAGTGAAACTAATGGGTCGAACTCAGTGAAGCTCAACCTCTTGCGTCTCTGCGCAGCCTGGCATTTCTTTTGCGCGGCAGTCCTGGAGTAGGTGTACTGCCGTGCACAGTTTAGAGGGAACATTGCCTGTAAGGGTAAAGGAGGTCGAAGTAGCAAGGAACAAGGAACAGGGAACAAGGAACAAGTGCAATATGAGTGTTATTTTCTTTTCTTTCCCTAATTCCCTTGTTTTTCTGCGTTAAAGTTCCCAGGTTTTCACCCCACCCAGTAGGTGGCGGCATGCACCTTTCAGGTATGTTTGCGAACCGCCAAAATACCATAGAAGTAGAAGAAGAGCGGAAGCAAAGCGCCCCCCCCCAAACGTCGGTGTTTTCGTAGCCCGTATTTAGGATTTGTGAACATAAACGCGGCTCACCATCGGGTATTTCCACAAAGAAATACCTTCACCGGGTTCTCTAAAGAGGAAACTTTCTCTATGGTGTTTATACAGATGTCTAATCGAATAGTTTATGTTCCCTTTGTCGTTGTTTTGAGAAGAGGCTAGCTAGCTAGTTAATGCTAGCTATTCATTGTCAATGCAATGGTCTAACGTTAGCATTAGTTGTCTCTTCCGATCTGTCAATTTATCCAGACAGCTACCTAGCTAGCTAGCTAGATACGTAGAAAGCAGCCTGTGTACATTGACATATGGCTATGTAGGTATCACAAAGTATAACGTTACTAACTGAATAATCAAGGTTTTTCAGCGAGCCAAGTAACGTTACAGTACGTTGATAGACACTGTAAATAGTGTTGTTTTACGGTTATCCAACACGTAAATTAGCTAGCTAACCTGGCAAGCTTGCTAGCTAGCTGGTTCTGTTTATGTGTTGGAACAGCACGTCGGAGCTAACGTTAGCCACCAAGCCATGGAGATATGTGTGTACCTAGCTAGCTAACATTAGATACAGGATTAGACAGCTATATTTCCCCCCCGGTTTGTTTACTTTCCTTGGTAGCTAACTTCTCTTAAATTGCGTTGTTTCCTGGTAAGCAGGATAACCAGCTGTCGCTGAGCATTAACTCTCTGATTGATATAATGTAACCTGAAATTCAGCTACCTAGGAAATCCTGTTAACTCCCATCAGTCATGCTGTTAACTATGTGACAGCCTAGAGCTGTGTTTGCGTCATCATTCGAGAAGTTACCTTTGTTTAGCTGACGTAATTCTTCACATGCTATATATTGACACATTTTATTATCCATAATATTAACTTTGAAACTTGCCAAGCCGCCCACTCAAAGATAAGGTGTGAGTTAGTATTTGTATGTCCTTGACCTAGTGGGGCCAGTATGAGAAGAAAAAAATAATAATATGTGTGCACTCACTAACTGTAAGTCGCTCTGGATAAGAGCGTCTGCTACATGACTAAAATGTAAAGAAAAACATATTAACACCGTCTAATCTTTGTAAAGATAATTAGTGATATACTGTAGTTATTAACTATATGTGTGGTGCATGTTATCTAACAAACTCTTTCTGTCTGTCTCTCTGTCTGTAATCTCAGATGAACAGCAACGGGAATAAGAGAGCACCGACCACAGCCACCCAGAGACTAAAACAGGACTACCTCAGAATAAAGAAAGACCCTGTGCCTTACATCTGTGCTGAACCCCTACCATCCAACATCCTCGAATGGTAAGGATGGTCTCTCTCATCATACTCTACTCTCTCATAAAGGCTCTGTCTTCTGTCTCTCTACTCTATCTATCTCTCTTCGCCTCCTATTGCCTATGTATATATCTCGTCTCTCTCTCTCTCTCTCTCTCTCTCTCTGTCTCTTCTCTCTCTGTCCTCTCTCTCATCTGCCTCTCTCTCTCTGTCTCTCTCTCTCTCTCTCTCTCTCGGTCTCTCTCTCTCTCTCTCTCTCTCTCTCTCTCTCTCTCTCTCTGCCCTCTCTCTCTCTGTCTCTCTCTCTCTCTCTCTCTCTCTCTGTCTCTCTCTCTCTCTCTCTCTCTCTGTCTCTCTCTCTCTCTCTCTCTCTCTCTCTGCCTCTCTCTCTGTCTCTCTCTCTCTCTCTCTCTCTCTCTCTCTCTCTCTCTCTGTCTCTCACATATTGATTGGGTCTCATAGTAGGAGTGCTGATCTAGGATCAGGTCCTCCTGTCCATGTTATCTTGTTAATTATGATCCATTATCAGCACTCCTACTCTGAGAAGTTTTTTTAAATACAGGCCCTTGAGTGATGAGTGGCTTCCTCAATCCTCACCTTGTCTCCTGCACTGATCTGAAAACAGAAGATAGGTGAAAACTGGAGGATGGTGATTGCATGCTGTGAATGTACTTTTACCTGTCCCAGTTCTTCTGAGTCAGTGTAAATGAAGGAGAGGAGATGCGAGGAAGCCACTTCACTAGACTATTGAGATGCACCCGAGGTCTCTTCGGAGAAATGTCTTGAATTAACAGGATCTTTATAGTGTGAATGAATAGTAGACCATGGTTGTGTAGGCCAAGTGGTACTCTCATTGTGTTTTCCATGAAGTGCTTTTACTTCCATCTCTCTCCAGGCACTATGTTGTTCGAGGTCCTGAGAAGACCCCATACGAAGGTAAATAAATGCACTTCATGTAAAGTACAGTTCTCTGAATAATATTACTTTAAATGCTCTCATACTAAGATATTGACCTTTTTAATTCTGTGTCTGACTAAATTGTTCAGAATGTTCCTTTTTGATTTGCTTAGATTTTCAGAATTACGGATTCATTTTCGACAATATTGTTTTTATACTAGATTGTCCGTTAATTGATTGAATGTCTTGATTCTTTGTTCCACAGGGGGATATTATCATGGCAAACTAATATTCCCTCGGGAGTTCCCCTTTAAGCCACCCAGCATCTACATGATCACACCAAACGGGAGATTTAAGTGTAACACGAGGTAAGAATCAAATGACCCTGAACGCATGTGAACGTACAGTACTAGAAGATACTACGAAGATGGCGCCGTACTGTATGGCCACTGTTTTGCGAGACCCTACCTTTCTTTTAAAGGTATCTGTGACCATCATATGCATATCTGTATTCCCAGTCATGTGAAGTCCATAGTTTAGGGCCTAATTAATTTATTTAAATTGACTGATTTCCTTATATGAACTGTAGCTCAGTAAAATCTTTGAAATTGTTGCATGTTGCGTTTTATGTTTTTTGTTCAGTATATTTAACCATAAACGTAATTGAGGCATGGCTGGCCACTAATAAACGGGTCCTGAACATCTCTAAAACTAAGAGCATTGGATTTGGTACAAATCATTCCCCAAAGTTCTAGACCTCAGCTGAATCTGGTAATGAATGGTGTGGCTGTTGAACAAGTTGAGGAGACTAAATTACTTGGTGTTCCCTTAGATTGTAAACTGTCATGGTCAAAACATATAGATTCAATGGTTGTAAAGATGGGGAGAGGTCCGTCCGTAATAAAGAGATGCTCTGCTTTTTTGACACCACACTCCACAAAGCAAGTCCTGCAGGCTCTAGTTTTGTCTTATCTTGATTAGTGTCCAGTCATGTGGTCAAGTGCTGAAAGGAAAGACCTAGTTAAGCTGCGGCTGGCCTAGAACAGAGCAGTAGAGTAAATTGACATTTTGCTTTTTCTGTTCGTTACTTTTTCGTTTCTTTATTTGTTGCCTGACGAAAATGCGGACAGTTCTAACATCTTGCGCCTCGGAATTCAATAAGGACGCGTGCCGTTGAGCAGGGCGGTTGGCAGCCGGTAGAAGGGTATTATAATGATTATATTCAGCCCAACGGCACAACGGACACTTTGGCCGCAAGTCATGGATTTTTTTAGGTGGCATTTCGGCCACACAAGGGGGAAATTTGAGACCTCCGCACGCCTGGAGTTTACAAAAAGGCATGTAAGGCAAAAATATTCTGTGGTCTGATGAAACAAAAATGTAACTATTTGGCCTGAATGCAAATCGCTATGTCTGGAGAAAACCAGGCACAGCTCATCACCTGTCTAACACCATCCCTACCGTGAAGCATGGTGGTGGCAGCATCAGTTATGGGGATGCTTTTCAGCAGCAGGGACTGGGAGACTGGTAAGGATAGAGGGAACAATGAATGGAGCCAAATACAGGCAAATCCTTGATGAGAACCTGCTTCAGAGTGCAAATGACCTTAGACTGGGGCAAGGATTTACATTCCAACAGGACAATGACCCCAAGCATACAGCCAAAGCATCACTGGAATGGCTTCAGAGCAAGAATGTGAAAGTCCTTGAGTGGCCCAGCCAAAACCCATACTTGAATCCCATTGAAAATCTGTGGAAATACTTCAAGGTTGCTGTTGACCGCTGCTCCCGATCAAACTTGGCAGAGCTTGAGAAAATCTGCAAGGAAGTATGGGAGAAAATCCCCAAATCCAGATGTGCAGAGCTGATACAGACATACCCAAGACGACTCAAAGCTGTAATCGCCGTAAAAAAGGTGCTTCTACAAAGTTTTAACTCAGGGGTGTGAATACATAGGTACATTTGCGAAAATTTCTAAAATCATGTTTTCACGTTGTCAATATTATGTGTAGATGGGTGAGAAAAACAATATATTGAATCCATTTTGAATTCAGGCTGAAACAGAATAACTCAAGGCTGGAACTGACCCTGTATATAGTCACCTGACCCCTATACATATCTACCTCCATCACTCCAGTATCCCTGCACATTGTTAATATGGTATAGAACTGACCCTGTATATAGTCACCTGACCCCTATACATATCTACCTCCATCACTCCAGTATCCCTGCACATTGTTAATATGGTATTGGAACTGACCCTGTATATAGTCACCTGACCCCTATACATATCTACCTCTATCACTCCAGTATCCCTGCACATTGTTAATATGGTATTGGAACTGACCCTGTATATAGTCACCTGACCCCTATACATATCTACCTCCATCACCCCAGTATCCCTGCACATTGTTGATATGGTATAGAACTGACCCTGTATATAGTCACCTGACCCCTATACATATCTACCTCCATCACTCCAGTATCCCTGCACATTGTTAATATGGTATTGGAACTGACCCTGTATATAGTCACCTGACCCCTATACATATCTACCTCCATCACTCCAGTATCCCTGCACATTGTTGATATGGTATAGAACTGACCCTGTATATAGTCACCTGACCCCTATACATACAGTTGAAGTCTGAAGTTTACATACACCTTAGCCAAATACATTTAAACTCAGTTTTCACAATTCCTGACATTTAATCCTTGTAAAAATTCCCTGTTTTAGGTCAGTTAGGATCACCACTTTATTTTAACAATGTGAAATGTCAGAATAATAGTTGAGAGAATGATTTATTTCAGCTTTTATTTCTTTCATCACATTCCCAGTGGGTCAGAAGTTTACATACACTCAATTAGTATTTGGTAGCATTGCCTTTAAATTGTTTAACTTGGGTCAAACGTTTCGGGTAGCCTTCCACAAGCTTCCCACAATAAGTTGGGTGAATTTTGGCCCATTCCTCCTGACAGAGCTGGTGTAACTGAGTCAGGTTTGTAGGCCTCCTTGCTCACACATGCATTTTCAGTTCTGCCCACAACTTTTCTATAGGATTGAGGTCAGTGCTTTGTGATGGCCACTCCAATACCTTGACTTTGTTGTCCTTAAGCCATTTTGCCACAACTTTGGAAGTATGCTTGGGGTCATTGTCCATTTGGAAGACCCATTTGCGACCAAGCTTAACTTCCTGACTGATGTCTTGAGATGTGGCTTCAATATATCCACATAGTTTTCCTTCCTCATGATGACATCTATTTTGTGAAGTGCACCAGTCCCTCCTGCAGCAAAGCACCCCCGCTGCATGATGCTGCCACCCCCGTGCTTCACGGTTGGGATGGTGTTCTTCGGCTTGCAAGCCACCCTCCTTTTCCTCCAAACATAACGATGGTCATTATGGCCAAACAGCTCTATTTTTGTTTCATCAGACCAGAGGACATTTCTCCAAAAAGTACGATCTTTGTCCCAATGTGCAGTTGCAAACCGTAGTCTGGCTTTTTTATGGCGGTTTTGGAGCAGTGGCTTCTTCCTTGCTGAGCGGCCTTTCAGGTTATGTTAATATAGGACTCGTTTTACTGTGGATATAGATACTTTTGTACCTGTTTCCTCCAGCATCTTCACAAGGTCCTTTGCTGTTGTTCTGGGATTGTTTTGCACTTTTCGCACCAAAGTACGTTCGTCTCTAGGAGACAGAACGCGTCTCCTTCCTGAGCGGTATGATGGCTGCGTGGTCCCATGGTGTTTATACTTGTGTACTATTGTTTGTACAGATGAACGTGGTACCTTCAGGCGTTAGGTAATTGCTCCCAAGGATGAACCAGACTGAGGTCTTGGCTGATTTCTTTTGATTTTCCCATGATGTCAAGCAAAGAGGCACTGAGTTTGAAGGTAGGCCTTAAAATACATCCACAGGTACACATCCAGTTGACTCAAATGAGGTCAATTAGCCTATCAGAAGCTTCTAAAGCCATGACATCATTTTCTGTAATTTTCCAAGCTGTTTAAAGGCACAGTCAACTTAGTGTATGTAAACTTCTGACCCACTGGAATTGTGATACAGTGAATTATAAGTTAAATAATCTGTCTGTAAACAATTGTTGGAAAAATTACTTGTCATGCACAAAGTAGATGTCCTAACCGACTTGCCAAAACTATAGTTTGTTAACAAGACATTTGTGGAGTGGTTGAAAAACGAGTTTTAATGACTCCAACCTAAGTGTATGTAAACTTCCGACTTCAACTGTATCTACCTACTGGCCCAAGGGGGGCCTTTTATTGACAATTACTTTAAGTTTATGCAAAGAGTCAATATTTGCAGTGTTGACCCTTCTTTTTCAAGACCTCTGCAATCCACCCTGGCATGCTGTCAACTTCTGGGCCACATCCTGACTGATGGCAGCCCATTCTTGCATAATCAATGCTTGGAGTTTGTCAGAATTTGTGGGTTTTTGTTTGTCCACCCGCCTCTTGAGGATTGACTACAAGTTCTCAATGGGATTAAGGTCTGGGGAGTTTCCTGGCCATGGACCAAAAATTTCGATGTTTTGTTCCCCGAGCCACTTAGTTATCACGTTTGCCTTATGGCAAGGTGCTCCATCATGCTGGAAAAGGCATTGGTCGTCACCAAACTGTTCTTGGATGGTTGGGAGAAGTTGCTCTCGGAGGATGTGTTGGTACCATTCTTTATTCATGGCTGTGTTCTTAGGCAAAAATGTGAGTGAGCCCACTCCCTTGGCTGAGAAGCAACCCCACACATGAATGGTCTCAGGATGCTTTACTGTTGGCATGACACAGGACTGATGGTAGCGCTCACCTTGTCTTCTCCGGACAAGGTGTTTTCCGGATGCCCCAAACAATCGGAAAGGGGATTCATCAGAGAAAATGACTACCCCAGTCCTCAGCAGTCCAATCCCTGTACCTTTTGCAGAATATCCGTCTGTCCCTGATGTTTTTCCTGGAGAGAAGTGGCTTCCTCGCTGCTCTTCTTGACACCAGGCCATCCTCCAAAAGTCTTCGCCTCACTGTGCATGCAGATGCACTCACACCTGCCTGCTGCCATTCCTGAGCAAGCTCTGCACTGGTTGTGCCCCGATCCCGCAGCTGAATCAACTTTAGGAGACGGTCCTGGCACTTGCTGGACTTTCTTGGGCGCCCTGACGCCTTCTTCACAACAATTGAACCTTTCTCCTTGAAGTTCTTGATGATCTGATAAATGGTTGATTTAGGTGCAATCTTACTAGCAGCAATATCCTTGCCTGTGAAGCCCTTTTTGTGCAAAGCAAGGATGACGGCACGTGTTTCCTTGCAGGTAACCATGGTTAACAGTGGAAGAACAATGATTTCAAGCACCACCCTCCTTTTAAAGCTTCCAGTCTGTTATTCTAACTCAATCAGCATGACAGAGTGATCTCCAGCCTTGTCCTCGTCAACACTCTCACCTGTGTTAACAAGAGAATCACATACATGATGTCAGGTGGTCCTTTTGTGGCAGGGCTGAAATCCAGTGGAAATGTTTTTTTGGGATTAAGTTCATTTTCATGACAAAGAGGGACTTTGCAATTAATTGCAATTCATCTGATCACTCTTCATGACATTCTGGAGTATATGAAAATTGCCATCATCAAAACTGAGGCAGCAGACTTTGTGAAAATTAGTATTTGTGTCATTCTCAAAACCTTTCACCACGACTGTAGATGTCCTAACCGACTTGCCAAAACTATAGTTTGTTAACAAGAAAGTTGTAATGACTCCAAACTAAGTGTATGTAAACTTCCGACTTCAACTGTATTTGTGTCAGTGTATGAGCTTCTAGTGAGTGTACACTCTCTGGGCATTGCCTTACATTACGGTAGTAGGACATTCCACTGAGGTAGATCATTGCCTTATATTACAGTAATAGGATGTTCCACTGAGGTAGATCATTGCCTTATATTACAGTAATAGGATGTTCCACTGAGGTAGATCATTGCCTTACATGAAAACTGAAGCAGCAGACGTTGTGAAAATTAATATTTGTGTCATTCTCAAAACTTTTCACCACGACTGTACATGACCAAAAGTATGTGGACACCTGCTCGTCGAACATCTCATTCCAAAATCATGGGCATTAATATGGAGTCGGTCCCCCCTTTGCTGCTATAACAGCCTCCACTCTTCTGGGAAGGCTTTTCACTAGATGTTGGAACATTGCTGTAGGGACTTGCTTCCTTCCATTCAGCCACAAGCATTAGTGAGGTCGGGCACTGATGTTCGGCAATTAGGCCTGGCTCGCAGTAGGTGTTCCAATTAATCCCAAAGGAATGTTAGATGGGGTTGAGGTCAGGGCTCTGTGCAGGCCAGTCAACTGCCTCCACACTGATCTCGACAAACCATTTCTATATGGACCTTGCTTTGTGCACGGGGGAATTGACATGCTGAAACAGGAAAGGCCCTTCCCTCAACTGTTGCCACAAAGTTGGAAGCACAGAATTGTCTAGAATGTCATTGTATGCTGTAGCTTTAAGATTTCCCTTCACTGGAACTAAGGGGCCTAGCCCGAACCATGAAAAACAGCCCCAGACCATTATTCCTCCTCCACCCAATCCCAGATTAGTCCGTCGGACTGCCAGATGGTGAAGAGTGATTCATCACTTCAGAGAACGTGTTTCCACTGCTCCAGAATCCAATGTCGGTGAGCTTTACACCACTCCAGCCGACGCTTGGCATTGCGCATGGTGATCTTAGGCTTGTGTGCGGCTGCTCGGCCATGGAAACCAATTTCATGAAGCTCCCGACAAACAGTTAGTGTGCAGATGTTGCTTCCAGAGGCAGTTTGGAACTCGGTAGTGAGTGTTGCAACCGAGGACAGACGATTGTTTCGCGCTACGCGTTTCAGCACTCGGGGGTCCCGTTCTGTGAGCTTGTGTATCCTACCACTTCGCGGCTGAGCCATTGTTGCTCCTAGATGTTTCCACTTCACAATAACAGCACTTACAGTTGACCGGGGCAGCTCTAGCAGGGCAGAAATTTGATGAACTGACTTGTTGGAAAGGTGGCATCCTATGACGGTGCCACGTTGAAAGTCACTGAGCTCTTCAGTAAGGCCATTCTACTGCCAATGTCTGTCTATGGAGATTGCATGGCTGTGTGCTCGATTTTATACACCTGTCAGCAACAGGTGTGGCTGAAATAGAATCCACTAATATGAAGGGGTGTCCTCATACTGCTGTATATATAGTGCATCTCTATTAGAATCCACTAATATGAAGGGGTGTCCACATACTGCTGTATATATAGTGCATCTCTATTAGAATCCACTAATATGAAGGGGTGTCCACATACTGCTGTATATATAGTGTACCTCTATTAGAATCCACTAATATGAAGGGGTGTCCACATACTGCTGTATATATAGTGTACCTCTATTAGAATCCACTAATATGAAGGGGTGTCCTCATACTGCTGTATATATAGTGCATCTCTATTAGAATCCACTAATATGAAGGGGTGTCCACATACTGCTGTATATATAGTGTACCTCTATTAGAATCCACTAATATGAAGGGGTGTCCACATACTGCTGTATATATAGTGCATCTCTATTAGAATCCACTAATATGAAGGGGTGTCCCCATACTGCTGTATATATAGTGTACCTCTATTAGAATCCACTAATATGAAGGGGTGTCCACATACTGCTGTATATATAGTGTACCTCTATTAGAATCCACTAATATGAAGGGGTGTCCACATACTGCTGTATATATAGTGCATCTCTATTAGAATCCACTAATATGAAGGGGTGTCCACATACTGCTGTATATATAGTGTACCTCTATTAGAATCCACTAATATGAAGGGGTGTCCACATACTGCTGTATATATAGTGTATCTCTATTAGAATCCACTAATATGAAGGGGTGTCCACATACTGCTGTATATATATATAGTGTATCTCTATTAGAATCCACTAATATGAAGGGGTGTCCACATACTGCTGTTTATATAGTGTACCTCTATTAGAATCCACTAATATGAAGGGGTGTCCATCATATATTGAAGCAACATCTCAAGACATCAGTCAGGAAGTTAAAGCTTGGTCGCAAATGGGTCTTCCAAATGGACAATGACCCCAAGCATATTTTCCAAAGTTGTGGCAAAATGGCTTAAGGACAACAAAGTCAAGGTATTGGAGTGGCCATCACAAAGCCCTGACCTCAATCCTATAGAAAATGTGCGGGCAGAACTGAAAAAAACGTGTGTGAGCAAGGAGGCCTATAAACCTGACTCCGTTACACCAGCTCTGTCAGGAGGAATGGGCCAAAATTCACCCAACTTATTGTGGGAAGCTTGTGGAAGGCTACCCGAAACATTGACCCAAGTTAAACAATTTAAAGGCAATGCTACCAAATACTAATTGAGTGTATGTAAACTTCTGACCCACTGGGAATGTGATGAAAGAAATAAAAGCTGAAATAAATCATTCTCTCTACTATTATTCTGACATTTCACATTCTTAAAATAAAGTGGTGATCCTAACTGACCTAAAACAGGGAAATTTTACTAGGATTAAATGTCAGGAATTGTGAAAAACTGAGTTTAAATGTATTTGGCTAAGGTGTATGTAAACTTCTGACTTCAACTGTATAGTGTCTCTATTAGAATCCACTAATATGAAGGGGTGTCCACATACTGCTGTATATATAGTGCATCTCTATTAGAATCCACTAATATGAAGGGGTGTCCACATACTACTGTATATATAGTGTGTCCTACTTACTTTCTCGTGTTCTTCTTATGTCTTATTTTTATGTCTCGTGTTTTTGTTCTACCTTGTTGTTTTTAGTGCTACGTTGATTACTGCATTGTTGGGTTTAGAGCTTGCAGGAAAGGCATTTCACTGTACTTGTGCACGTGACATTGAAACTTGAAACAACACAATGGATCTTCAGTACATATCCTAAATGGATGTCTTTTAGTCTCAGGGTTTGAACTATGGAACTGTGTTCTGTTCTGTTAAATCATTTCATCCATTTCCTGCTGTCTTTTCCTGAGTGTGTGTCGGTGTATCTCTTCCCCCCCTGAGTGTCACAGTGTATCTCTTCCCCCCCTGAGTGTCACAGTGTATCTCTTCCCCCCCTGAGTGTCACAGTGTATCTCTTCCCCTCCTGTGTGTCACGGTGTATCTCTTCCCCTCCTGTGTGTCACGGTGTATCTCTTCCCCTCCTGACTGAGTGTCACAGTGTATCTCTTCCCCTCCTGACTGAGTGTCACAGTGTATCTCTTCCCCTCCTGTGTGTCATGGTGTATCTCTTCCCCTCAGTGATTGTGTCAAGGACGGTGTATCTCTTCCCCTCCTGACTGAGTGTGTCACGGTCTATCTCTTCCCCTCCTGACTGAGTGTGTCACGGTCTATCTCTTCCCCTCCTGACTGAGTGTGTCACGGTCTATCTCTTCCCCTCCTGACTGAGTGTGTCACGGTCTATCTCTTCCCCTCCTGACTGAGTGTGTCACGGTGTATCTCTTCCCCTCCTGACTGAGTGTGTCACTTGTATCTCTTCTCCCTGGTGACTGAGTGTGTCGCGGTGTATCTCTTCCCCCAGGTTATGTTTATCCATCACTGATTTCCACCCAGACACGTGGAACCCAGCCTGGTCCGTCTCCACCATCCTGACGGGTCTGCTCAGCTTCATGGTGGAGAAAGGCCCTACCCTGGGTAGTATCGAGACCTCCGACTACACCGTGAGTTCATATTACTTACTTAATATTAATATTACTTACTTCATCCTCTCCAACCCCATTGGAACATACAGTGCATTCGGAAAGTATTCAGAACCCTCGACTTTTTCTATCATTTGGTACATTACAGCCTTATTCTAAAATGTATGAAATAAATAAAAATCCTAATCAATCTACACACAATACCCCATAATGACAAAGCGAAAGCAGGTTTTTAGACATTTTTGCAAATGTAAAAAAAACTAAAACAGCAATACCTTATTTACATAAGTATTCAGACCCTTTGGTATGAGACTCAGAATTGAGCTGAAGGTGCATCCTGTTTCCATTGATCATCCTTGAGATGTTTCTACAACTTGATTGGAGTCCACCTGTGGTAAATTCAATTGATTGGACATGATTTGGAAAGCCACACACCTGTCTATATAAGGTCCCACAGTTGGCAGTGCATGTCAGAGCAAAAACCAAGCCATGAGGTCAAAGGAATTGTCCGTAGAGCTCTGAGACAGGATTGTGTCGAGGCACAGATCTGGGGAAGGGTACCAAAACATTTCTGCAGCATTGAAGGTCCCCAAGAACACAGTGGCCTCAATCATTCTAAAATGGAAGAAGTTTGAAACCACCAAGACTCTTCCTAGAGCTGGCCGCCCGGCCAAACTGAGAAATCACTCGAACAGAACTCCAGAGTTCCTCTGTGGAGATGGGAGAACCTTCCAGAAGGCCAACCATCTCTGCAGCACTCCACCAATCAGGTCTTTATGGTAGAATGGCAAGATGGAAGCCACTCCTCAGTAAAAGGCACATGACAGCCCGCTTGGAGTTTGCCAAAAGGCACCTAAAGGACTCTCAGACCATGAGAAACAAGATTATCTGGTCTAATGAAACCAAGATTGAATTCTTTGGCCTTAATGCCAAGTGTCACATCTGGAGGAAACCTGGCACCATCCTTACGGTGAAGCATGGTGGTGGCAGCATCATCATGTTTTGGGGATGTTTTTCAGAGGCAGGGACTGGGAGACTAGTCAGGATCGAGGGAAAGATGAACGGAGCAAAGTACAGAGAGATCCTTGATGAAAACCTGCTCCAACACGCTCAGGAGCTCAGACTGGGGCGAAGGTTCACCTTCCAACAGGACTACGACCCTAAGCACACGGGACAAGCCCGGACTTGAACCCAATTGAACATCTCTGGACAGACCTGAGATGTTGTCCTTTTGGGAGTTGAACCATCGCCCCAGTCTAAGGTCACGGTCTTTACATTTTTACATTTTAGTCATTTAGCAGACGCTCTTATCCAGTGAGTGCATACATTATTTTTATATTTATTTTTTTAGAGTCCTGTTTATAAGCATTTGTATTGCCATTTTATCAGGTTGTAATGTGGATGTGAATGTAATGTTAGTCATATAATAGTTAGGATGAATGACTGCATGTTGGTATTTTTTGCCTTATTTTCTGAATGATTGTTGCTTCTTTGGTTATTTATTTATTTCTTGTTTTGTTGTTTATTTCGTCCAGAAAAGACAGCTGTCGGCCCAGAGCTTGGCTTTCAACCTGAAGGACAAGGTGTTCTGTGAACTGTTTCCTGATGCAGTCGATGTGAGTCTGAATTGAAACAATTGACTAAACACAGATACTATGTCAAAACAAACTAGTGAGCAGCGTAACCTTGACCAGAGCCTTATTTCATCTACTGACTGACTTCCATCCTTCTCCTCCCCCTCTCTTACCCTTACTCTCCTCTCCTATTCCTCCCTCCATCCCTTCTCTCACCCTCCATTTCTCTTTCTCCATCCCTCTCTCTTCCCTCCCTCTCTCTGATCTCTCCTTCCCTCTCTCTCATCGCTCCCTCCCTCTCTCCAGGAGATCAAGCAGAAGCAGAAGGCCCAGGAGGAGTTGAGCGCCCGCCCCCAGCCCCTCCCCCTCCCAGACGTGGTTCCCGACGGCGACCTTCAACACGGCAACTACGGAATCCCCGCCCTCAACGGAGGCCATGCCCCCTTGGGCCCTGCTATGCCCGCCCCCGGCCTGCAGCAGGCCAATCGTAATCACGGACTGCTGGGCGGGGCCTTGGCCAACCTGTTTGTGATTGTGGGGTTCGCTGCGTTTGCCTACACGGTGAAGTACGTGCTGCGGAGCATCGCCCAGGAGTGAGAGGAGAGGAGAGGAGAGGAGAGGAGAGGAGGGGACAATTGACCCTCGGGCCAGGACCACATTACAGGACTATTATACCATTTAAACATGTGGGGTGGGGGATGAATGGAACGGGGTTGGTTGTTGAAATGGTTGTTGATCCACTCTTGTGCGCTCAGTGCTTATGACCCAATACCAGGTAGAAGTGCCTGGCTCACGGGTTGTGTAGGGGAGCATAGACATTGAAGTTATGGTAGATTTGTCATTCTCTGTGAAAAGCAACATTGTATTTTATAGACATGTGGCTTTAGCGGCCATGTTGACCATCGGCTTAATTAATTGTTCTTCTCCACATAATTACTCTGAATCCACCGTGTTGTTGCTGGGTGTCTTCTGTGTGCTAGAACAATTATATCCCTGGAAAGAATCATGTGGAATTTGGAAGCACGTTTCTGTTCTGGCCCAGTTTTATGATAGAGGTTTCAGGTGGGGATAGATAGCCCTGTGTTTCCCGAGGATAAGGTTCAGACTCGCTTGGTAAGTGTTCCCCTTCTGTGTCACCTGTAAGACAGACGGACAGACTCCGTCCCCAAGGTATCCTCTCTCCAGGTGTTCTGAGAGACAGTCTGCTGTTCTGAGTCTCAAACCGTTGTTCAACTGAAACTCTTATGTCATTTGTTTTCCTTTTAATTAGGCTCATCAATAACAACAGAACCTGTTGTATTCAACCCCCAGGGCCCTTTCCAAAATGGCTGACGCCTCTTTTCCAAGTGTCTTCTTTTTCAGAACACATCCACGACAGCATTGCTAGGCTTCATTCACCCTTTTGTCTAGCCCAACCCCCATACATTCCTGACACACCGGTTTCGCTTTGTGTTTCGTTATGTTTACGTTTCTCTCCTGTTAATGACTAACTCTGGTTTTATTCCACTCTTAGCTGGAAAGGAGAGGTTGTAGGTTAACAAATACACTGGGCTTTTATATGATAGTTTAAGTAATGATTCATTCAATCACAGGAAGTGTTGCATACAAATGGGAAGACCCAAATAACTGAGACACTAACCCTTAGGACATGCTGTCTGTCTATCTGTCTGTCTGCCTGTCTCTCTATCTCTGCCTGTCTCTGTCTGTCTGCCTGTCTCTGCCTGCCTGTCTGTCTCTGTCTGCCTGTCTCTGTCTGCCTGCCTGTCTCTTTCTGCCTGCCTGTCTCTGTCTGCCTGTCTGTCTCTGTCTGCCTGCCTGTCTCTGTCTGCCTGTCTCTGTCTGTCTGACTGTCTCTGCCTGCCTGTCTCTGCCTGTCTGTGTCTGTCTGCCTGTCTCTATCTGCCTGTCTGTCTCTGCCTGCCTGTCTCTGTCTGCCTGTCTGTCTCTGTCTGCCTGCCTGTCTCTGCCTGCCTGTCTCTGCCTGCCTGTCTCTGTCTGCCTGTCTGTCTCTGTCTGCCTGTCTGTCTCTGTCTGTCTGTCTCTGTCTGCCTGTCTGTCTCTGTCTGTCTGCCTGCCTGTCTCTGTCTGTCTGCCTGTCTCTGCCTGTCTCTGTCTGCCTGCCTGTCTCTGCCTGTCTGTGTCTGTCTGTCTGCCTGTCTCTATCTGCCTGCCTGTCTGTCTCTATCTGCCTGCCTGTCTGTCTCTGTCTGCCTGCCTGTCTCTGTCTGTCTCTGTCTGCCTGCCTGTCTCTGTCTGTCTCTGTCTGTCTGCCTGTCTCTGTCTGTCTCTGCCTGTCTCTGCCTGTCTCTTTCTGTCTGCCTGTCTCTGTCTGCCTGTCTGTCTCTGTCTGCCTGCCTGTCTCTTTCTGTCTGCCTGTCTCTGTCTGCCTGTCTGTCTCTGCCTGTCTCTGTCTGCCTGCCTGTCTCTGCCTGTCTGTGTCTGTCTGTCTGCCTGTCTCTGTCTGCCTGCCTGTCTCTGCCTGTCTGTGTCTGTCTGCCTGCCTGTCTCTGTCTGTCTGTCTGCCTGTCTCTGTCTGCCTGCCTGTCTCTGCCTGTCTGTGTCTGTCTGCCTGCCTGTCTCTGTCTGTCTGTCTGTCTGTTGTGTCTTTACAACACTGATAAATATGGACATAGTAGACCTAGACATATTGGGCAGGTTGGTGAATGAGAAGCGTTGTGAGAATATATAGTAGTGGTATAATTAAGCTACTCAATAAAACACTGAACTCCAAGGCATTCTTCCTAGTTTACTGCTAAATTCCCTGTCTTAAAATACCATGTCAAACTGCCTGTGTTTGGTGGAACTCATGTCTGTTTTGTTTGTGTACGTTTCAGTACATGCTGTGGGTCATTGCATTGGTCACTAGGCTGTCTTTAAACCATGACAAAGACAGAACTAGGCTGTCTTTAAACCATGACAAAGACAGAACTAGGCTATCTTTAAACCATGACAAAGACAGAACTGGGCTGTCTTTAAACCATGACAAAGACAGAACTAGGCTGTCTTTAAACCATGACAAAGACAGAACTAGGCTGTCTTTAAACCATGACGAAGACAGAACTAGGCTGTCTTTAAACCATGACGAAGACAGAACTAGGCTGTCTTTAAACCATGACAAAGAGACAGGTTGTGTCTGAAATGGCACCCTATTCCTTATATAGTATACTACTTTTGACCAGGGCCCGGCTAGTGCCGTCTATAGGAAATAGCGTGCCATTTCAGACAGAAGGTGATGTGTCCCCGAGTGGCGCAGTGGTCTAAGATACTGCATCGCAGTGCTAGCTGTGCCACGAGAGATCCTGGTTCGAATCCAGGCTCTGCCGTAGCCGGCCGCGACCGGGAGACCCATCGGGCGGCGCACAATTGGCCCAGCGTCGTCCAGGGTAGGGGAGGGAATGGCCGGCAGGGATGTAGCTCAGTTGGTAGAGCATGGCGTTTGCAACGCCAGGGTTGTGGGTTCGATTCCCACTGGGGGGCCAGTATGAAAAAAATAATATATATATAAAATAATAATGTATGCACTCACTTAACTGTAAGTCGCTCTGGATAAGAGCGTCTGCTAAATGACTAAAATGTAAATGTAAAATGAGTAGACTCGTCTTGGCTAGTGTTTGTTGTCAGTCAGTCAACCCATGAGCCAAGCAGTTCAGTCCAGCGGTTCGGTTCAGTCCAGCGGTTCAGTCCAGCGGTTCAGTCCAGCGGTTCAGTCCAGCGGTTCAGTCCAGCGGTTCAGTCCAGCAGTTCAGTCCAGCGGTTCAGTCCAGCAGTTCAGTCCAGAAGTTCAGTCCAGCGGTTCAGTCCAGCGGTTCAGTCCAGCGGTTCAGTCCAGCGGTTCAGTCCAGCGGTTCAGTCCAGCGGTTCAGTCCAGCGGTTCAGTCCAGCAGTTCAGTCCAGCGGTTCAGTCCAGCGGTTCAGTTCAGTCCAGCGGTTCAGTCCAGCGGTTCAGTCCAGCGGTTCAGTCCAGCGGTTCAGTCCAGCAGTTCAGTCCAGCAGTTCAGTCCAGCGGTTCAGTCCAGCGGTTCAGTCCAGCGGTTCAGTCCAGCAGTTCAGTCCAGCGGTTCGGTTACATTTTACATTTACATTTTAGTCATTTAGCAGACGCTCTTATCCAGAGCGACTTACAGGAGCAATTAGGGTTAAGTGCCTTGCTCAAGGGCACATTAACGTCATTTAGCAGACGCTCTTAGCCAGAGCGACTCACAAATTGGTGCGTTCACCCTGTAGCCAGTGGGATAACCACTTTACAATTTGGGGGGGGGGGGGTTAGAAGGATTGCTTTATCCTATCCCAGGTATTCCTTAAAGAGGTGGGGTTTCAAATGTCTCCGGAAGGTGGTGAGTGACTCCGCTGTCCTGGCGTCGTGAGGGAGCTTGTTCCACCATTGGGGTGCCAGAGCAGCGAACAGTTTTGACTGGGCTGAGCGGGAGCTATGCTTCCGCAGAGGAAGGGGAGCCAGCAGGCCAGAGGTGGATGAACGCAATGCCCTCGTTTGGGTGTAGGGACTGATCAGAGCCTGAAGGTACAGAGGTGCCGTTCCCCTCACTGCTCCATAGGCAAGCACCATGGTCTTGTAGCGGATGCGAGCTTCAACTGGAAGCCAGTGGAGTGTGCGGAGGAGGGGGGTGACGTGAGAGAACTTGGGAAGGTTAAACACCAGACGGGCTGCGGCATTCTGGATGAGTTGTAGGGGTTTAATGGCACAGGCAGGGAGGCCAGCCAACAGCGAGTTGCAGTAGTCCAGACGGGAGATGACAAGTGCCTGGATTAGGACCTGTGCCGCTTCCTGTGTAAGGCAGGGTCGTACTCTCCGAATGTTGTAGAGCATGAACCTGCAGGAGCGGGTCACCGCCTTGATGTTGGCGGAGAACGACAGGGTGTTGTCCAGGGTCACGCCTAGGCTCTTCGCACTCTGGGAGGAGGACACAGCGGAGTTGTCAACCGTGATGGCGAGATCATGGAACGGGCAGTCCTTCCCCGGGAGGAAGAGCAGCTCCGTCTTGCCAGGGTTCAGCTTGAGGTGGTGATCCGTCATCCATACTGATATGTCTGCCAGACATGCAGAGATGCGATTCGCCACCTGGTTATCAGAAGGGGGAAAGGAGAAGATTAGTTGTGTATCGTCAGCGTAGCAATGATAGGAAAGGCCATGTGAGGATATGACAGAGCCAAGTGACTTGGTGTATAGGGAGAAAAGGAGAGGGCCTAGAACTGAGCCCTGGGGGACACCAGTGGTGAGAGCACGTGGTGCGGAGACAGCTTCTCGCCACGCCACTTGGTAGGAGCGACCGGTCAGGTAGGACGCAATCCAGGAGTGAGCCGCGCCAGAGATGCCCAGCTTGGAGAGGGTGGAGAGGAGGATCTGATGGTTCACAGTATCAAAAGCAGCAGACAGGTCTAGAAGGACAAGAGCAGAGGAGAGAGAGTTAGCTTTAGCAGTGCGGAGAGTCTCCGTGACACAGAGAAGAGCAGTCTCAGTTGAATGACCAGTCCTGAAACCTGATTGGTTTGGATCAAGAAGGTCATTCTGAGAGAGATAGCAAGAGAGTTGGCTAAAGACGGCACGCTCAATAGTTTTGGAAAGAAAAGAAAGAAGG